GGAGAGGACCATCTCCAGCAAAAGCGTCAGCACTCGCTAGTTCTTCGTGTGCAGATGTCACCTTGAATGCAACGCTGGTACCCTACCATCGCGGCGTTGTTACGTGGCGGTGTTTCGGATCTGCGAAGGCCCTGAGTCTGACTGCTTTCATTTGAGTAAGCCGAGTGCATCAAGGTCATACCCAGCATTGGGCACACTCGCGCGAGCTCAAAGTGTTGAAGGACTGTTCAGATGTTTTATCCAACGTGTCAACAAGGTTCTCAGCACCCATAATTCGACCCGATCCTTACAATTGGAGCGAACAAGGGGCGAAAAAGTGAGTCCAGTCGCTTGAGAACAAACATCCGAGGTTGAGACAGTGGTCGTGTTTACTAGGTTTGCTCCGTGAAATGTCAATGTGCGCGATGTCCAATCTCCACGATTATTGTCCATGGTGGTGGCTCCAGAGATGGGTATGAAGTGTGCAAAGCAACAATCTCCTGAGACAAGCTGGCCAGGTTTTGTCATTGGCTACAGACCGTTCCCCGTTTCCCCATCATTTCACACGTGGCATGGCACAGATTTGGACAGCTCTCTGTATCGTTTCAGTTCTATGCGACGTGCCTTGCAACTCTTGTGGGATGTGCTTTGCATGTTTGGCCCTTGTAGGGGTTTAAAGTCAAAGTGTGAGCAGTCAGGGAATACCCGCAGTGCTTGCTATATCCCAATGTCTGATTTCCACAAGTGTATCGCAGACGAGCTATTATCCGTAGGTATGTCGAGATCGGCCTCCCTCTTGACACCGGATCCCTCGTGGCTGTCGCATTGTCACACGGTCCAATCGGCAGACAGATGGCGTTCATACATGCGTAAAATTGGCCGGCCTCAGCCTCGTCAGCCTCCAATTTCAACCACCCTGGACAGCCAGCACCACACCACCCCATGGGAAAGTAAATCCACTCCCGCGGGAAGCTCAGAGTTTTTGCGCCCGTTGAACACGGCGAAAGATTGTGGCGGCTGCCGCTGCTGCTGCTGTTGATATCCATTGTACTTGTATACAAGATGCAAGTCCAGGTAGGTCTGACTTCGCTAGTGGCTTGTCTCGAGCTCAGCTCTTAGTGATACGTCAAATATTTTTCCGACTTTGACCATAGTGTCGTCTCATCTCATCGCGGATCTTATCTACGGAGAATTTCAGATCCCGTCGCCACGACCTTCAAGCCACCCACGATCAAACGGAAATCAGTATTTTATGTCAAAAGCGCCCACGATTGCGGACACGACTACGGACGCGGGCTCGGACGCGGACACGGACACGCCCACACTCGTAATGCGAGTAGCAAGGGTGGTAGGTAGGTAGGTATTGCGCATTTATAACCCCCGGTCACGAGTCACGGGTCACGACGCACGACGAGCTACTGCGCGAGGGGTGAGCACATGAAACAAGGAAAGTCGACAAGCCAACCAAGCCACAAATAATCAAAAAAAGGTAATTAGAAACAAACTCCGGCACGAGTCCATTACCCTGGATGAAAAGATATCTATACGAGATACAGTACCGAGTGCATCCGTAATTACCAGCGAGCGAGAGAGCGTGGGAGGGACGGAAGGGAGGTAGGGAGAGAGGGAGGCTCGTGGTGATTCCAATTATCGCCCCATGCATATTAATATCCCCGTGCATCATGCATCATGCATCACTATCACGCATTGCGCATTGCGCACCATGTACTCGATACGAGGCAACACTACGCATTCCTGTCCCTTGTCCAAAGTGTCGTCTTCTCGCTCGCTTCCTTGCTTCCTTGCGTCTTTCCCTGTTTCCTTCCCTTTTCTCGCCTCTTTCCTGGTTGCCTTTGTCTGACTACCGAGCGCCGCACCTCCCTGCTCGGCGCTCGGTTATCTAATAACGTTACGATCACGACCGCTGTCGCAACCTCGAAAAGGGGGTAGGTAACGCGGGTGATAAGATACGAGAAGGATTCGCGCGTAAGGAACACGTGCTCCGTGCTCCGTGCCCTGCTAGCCAGCCAGCCAATGTCAGCCCGACTCAGAGAAGAAACGTGCCTATGTAGGCATGTACCTACCGACCTACTACTTGTACAAAGTTCCTACAAAGTAAGTGTACCAAATACAGGTACTACAAGTACCAAGTACCAGTTCCCTGCCGAGTAGTTGTAATAGTAGTAGTAGTAGTAGTAGTAGTAGTAGTAGTAGTAGTAG